TATTGGGCTCTCTGGGCGGCCTAAGCCCGAAGTTCCTCTAAAATCACCTCAATTAAGGAATATACCTGAAATCATAGTGGGGGCCCTAATATGGTTTAAAGTATATTCCTTAATTAAGGGATTTTGGAAGGTCTGGGTACAAGTCTTCTTAGGCCAGGGCTCATTATGAGGGTTACTGCAAGAGCTAGGATAAGTTCACCCACAGGGTCCAAGTACTCCTTAGTATAGGACTACTGGGACCCGTAGGGTTAGGTTTCGGGATAGCTCCAGTGCTGCAGTAGCTGAACGATGGCTCTGGTTCCTTCCGGGTTGAGGGTTCAGGGTCTAGCTGCTTATACTTAATAAGCCACAGAAATGAAAGGTTAAAGTTTCCGATTCCTAATCAACTATAAGAACCCAAAAAGTTTAAAGCTTAGGTCTTGGGGATCTAAGTATAAGGCTTTATGGGTCTGCGAAAGTTCCAGAGAAGGCTTGACAAGGCGAGTTACTTTACGGTTACACTGAGGGAACTATAAAGCTTGCTACGAACAGGGTTAAGGGGTTCAGGGAAAGCTCCTGGGCCGTGATCTGCTCCATTTAGGCATCCTACAAAGCACGACTGATAAGGATTTCCCTAGCTTTGAGTTGCACAGATACGTTTTCTATAGGGCATGTAAGCTTCCTTTTGCCATTTGTAAGTACCATACGGGTTATTCTGTGGGTTTCAGTCTGGGGTTAAGGGTTAAGGGTTTGGCCTTTGTAGGGTTAAGGTACACTAGAGGGGGGTGTTGCAGGATTTCTATACCAAATACTTATTCGAGCTTCTACTAAACCTACGATGCCCAGAAACCCAGGAATAAAAAGGGCTCCCTTTTTGGTATTGGGTAACTTCATAAGGAACCTAGGACTACAAAAAGGAAATGAGGGTACTACTGGGCATCCTGGAAGCCCCTACTTAGAGGCCCCGGGGACTTAGTAAGTCGGTTATAAGTAGGGTTATAATTGGGGTAACTCCATTTAGGGTACTTATAACCTACTTACTAAGTCCCCTGGGCCTCTAAGTACAACCCTACAGTCCCAAACCCTAAGTCCTTGAAGCAATGAAATTCTGAGCTGAGCGCCCTGTGGGCTGCCCGACAGCTCCTCCTGGAACTCGGCCAGAAGGTCGTTCACCTCTTCCGGAAACTGCCCAAAGATCCCAATACCCCTTAATTAAGGATTGTACCTTAAACTATAGGGGACTTAGTATGATGATTTAAGGTGTATTCCCAAATTAAGGGGTATTGGGGTCCCTGAGTGGGGCTTGCGGATTCGAGTTTACATAGGGCGGGGGGTCGGAGGGCGGTGGGGTGTTCAGGGTTCTGGGATCTTTTGGTTTTGGTGTTCATTTTTGTATTTTATGTGGGTTTGGGGTTTTGTAGGACAGTTAGAACTCCTCCGGAGACTTGTTTTTTCTTGTTATGGGGTTCTGGGTTTTTAGGAGGGTTAGAACTCTTCCGGAGGCTTGTAGGGGCTTCTCTGGATGTATCTTACATGTATCTTACTTGTCCAGCATCTTATAGAAGCCCATTTCAGGTGGGTAGTTCCTCTTCCATAGTACTCCCATAAGACCCCTTTACCTTATAGGAGTGGTATGGAAGGCTTATGGGAGACTACCCACCTTAAAACTACCCACCTGTAGATGGCTTAGATCTTAGGAGCGCTCCAGGTTGACAGCAGCTAATCTTGTAGCAGGGAAGGTAAGCTTCAACTTTTTGCTGGGGGGGTACTATATAAGGTCGAAGTTATACAACCCGCCCTAGCGCCTGAAAACGCTGAACCCTAAATCCCACGGCCCGAACGCCCTAATAAATGGCCCCTTCACAATGAAAGCAGAGCTTTTGGGACTCAAAACCCCACGCCCTAATAAACCCTACAGCCGATAAACCCTTATAGATCCCTTTAAAGGAACCCCTTGAAGGAGCCCCTCAAGGGTGCCCCTTCCAAACCCGAAACCCCTGAACCCTAAAGACACCTCCTGTACTCCGGGCAATGCAGCAGCATGGGGGCATTCCCCAGCAACCCCACGGTTTAGGGCTGCAGGGTTCTAGGGTTCAGGGCTGTGAGGGTTTTTAGGGTTCAAAGTTGCAAGGTTTAGGGTTTAGGGCTGTTGGGGTTTAGGGTTTAGGGTTGTTAGGATTGTAGGGTTTGGGGTTGTTAGGGTTCAGGGTTCGGGGCTTAGGGCGATCGGCCAGTGCAAGGAGCATGGCAAACTTCGGCTCTATGGCACAACGTCGACACTCCCATTCGTGCTGTGAGTCGCCTGAACATGTTGGTGAACGGGAGGATACCTGGCAATTCTAAGAATTCGACCACCGTGGTGAGATCGTCAAAGTAATTTTGAGACTTCCCTCAAGCGTAGGAGCAGTGCTGAGAGTCACGCGAAACAACTCCCTGGTGCTTCGCAGGGAATGGGGGAATGGATCCCTATGAGAGTCCTTCAAGGGTCCCTTATAGTAGTCTCTATACCCCATTCCACCGTTCCCCAATAAGAACCAGACAGACAATGTTCCTAAACCCTAAACCCCTAAATCCTAAGCCCTGAACCCTAAGCCCCTAAACTCTAAACCCTAAACAGGTGTTGAAACTGGCGGTCCCGAGGCAGCAATGCCAAGAGGATGCCCTGCTGGTACGGTTGATGATGTAAAACCTGCATTACTTTAATGACCCTAGCCTATGACAATTATGGTATAATCCTTGGTATGGGTAATGCAGGATTTATATCATCAACCGTAGTGCCGGAGGTGGTGCCTTCGCGAAACTGCGCTGTATGAACTCAGAGGCCTCAAAAGGTGGGATGGTAGGTGGGATATTCCCAAATAAGAGTCCTTATATAAGGGATCCTTAATCCTACATACCTTCATCCCACCTTTTGAGGCCTCCGACCTGGTGTTCTGCTCTTTCTGAAGTGGGGCCGATGCTGTTTCACCCTGGCCGCCAAGCTTTTGCTATGTCCCTCCCAAACAACCCCGAACCCTAAATCCTGGCCTCCCAAGTACACATGCAAACCCTTCAAAGTTCAAGCTTTTCCTTGGACCGGTTAGGAAAATCCATACGCCGAGGGTCAGAGGACTGGGTAACCAGGATAGGAAAAGATAAAACTGAGATGCCCGGTAACCTAGGAATAAAAACGACTCCCTTTTTGGGTATTGGGTACCTTAGTAAGGAACCTAGGACTACAAAAGGGGATAAGGGTACTACTGGGCATCCTAGAAAAGCACACCAGACAGGGATGTCCTGACTGTTTATGATGTCATTATAGCATTGCCTGATCCTGCTAGGATACACTTTGCAAAAAGCCCTGTAACGCACTTAATAGGGGCTTCAAAAGATTAGAATAGGGTGTTGGGACCCATAAAACTATAACTATAATAAGGACCTCCCAAAATAGTATAGGGTAATCATTTCGGCCCCTATAGTAAATCCATATAGGAGCCCTTATTTAAACTAGCCTTTAAAGGAACCCTAGAGAAAACTAAACCCTAAACCCCACCTCTGAGCAAGCCGCCTCCAGGTTCCTTGTCTAACAGTCTAGGGAATAATTGGGAGTTTCCGAAAATAGGGGTCTCTAATATACTACCCCTAATAGTAGGGTCCTTATTATAAGGACCCCAAAATAAGGTACCCCTAATTTTCGGAAACTCCCATTAAAGCCCCGAAGCTATAGGAAGAAGAATCTTGCACCTCTAAAGCCCCAAAACCTGAACCAGGGACCGGACGCCCACGCCTGCTCCTCCGGAGATGGCAGAACCGAAATAGGTTTTAGGGTTTAGGCTTTAGGGTTTAGAGTTTAGGGTTTAGAGTTTAAGGTTTAGGGTTTAGGGTTTAGGGTTTAGGGTCTAGGGTTTAGGATTTAGAAGTTTAGGCTGTCTTGTTGGGTATCCCTTAGGATCTGGGGTTCGGGTTTGCGGGTTTTTGGCAAATTCCCAATCGAGCGTTGGGGTTCGGGTCTCGCTTAGCAGATACAAGGCTAAGACTGTTCAAACTTTAGCGAACCTAAGGTCAAATGTGAAGTTCCTTGTCAGGTTGACAGTTTCGGCTGCGTTGTACCTATATAGAGGATCATGGGGCTTAGTAAGTAGGGCTATAAGTGTCCAACTAAGGTTATTATAGCTATAGTTACCCTACGTATAACCCTACTTACTAAGCCGAAGCTCAATAAGGGCTGGATATCCCGATAGAGCGCCTATGCTTATGTGCTTTTGGGGTCCCTGGCACTAGGAAGCCTCCGTAAGACTTTAAAGGGAACTCCAGAAAGTAGGAATATGGTTTCAGGGTAGGATACCTTATAATTTACCATAAAGGGTTTAGGATAATCATATTCCAACTTTCTGGCTTTTACTTTAAAGGAGGTCGTTCAAGACCTTCGCCATGAAATCTGTGGCCTCAGCCCGAGAGCAGGAGATACTTGGAGGGTCAGGGGAATTAGTAAGTAGGGTCCTTAAAGGGATCTATAGTATAGGGTTCCTAAAAGGGATCTATAGGGTTTGGGGTTTAGGGTTTACTTAGAGGATCAGGGGACTTAGTAAGTAGGGTTAGACGTGAGGTAACCATACTTACTACTACTTATAACCCCAATTCGGGTACTTATAACCCTACTTACTAAGTCCCATGAACCTCCAAGTAGTCAAGCCACCGAAGTTCCCTTTAGGCGATCTCGAAGGGTTCCTTGAAGGATCCATAAGGGTGGTTGTCAAAATTAGGGTCACTTCTTGGGCTCCTAAACGTAATACGGCACCTAATATTTAGTGTACCCAGATAGGGAACCTTATTTTTTGACAACCACCCATAGGTATTTATACGGTTTAGGGTTCTACGGGTCGTGGGTCTTAGTAAGTTGGGGTTACCAGTACCTGACTTAAGGCTATAAGTAGATATAACCAGAATTACCTTACTTATATCTCTACATACTAAGTCCCATGATCCTCTAAATAGTCAAGCCACCCAAGTTTCACTTACGTCTTCACGGCGGTGGCGCCAAATGGGGATGCCTGCCCTTAAACACCGCAAACTCCAAACCAAACCGAACCTTAAACCTTCAGCCCTCACTGCAAATGGCTATGCCCACCCTTATAAACACTAGACTCCAAGCGAAACCGAACCTTAAGCCCTCACTGAAAATGTGGTTTGGAAGTTGAAAAAAGACTTTCGGGTTGGTCTTCCCTAAACCCTAAGGGTTTAGGGTTTAGGGTTTAAGGGGTTTAGGGTTTAGTTTTCAGGGTTTAGGGTTTAGTTTTTAGGGTTTAGGGGTTTAGGGGTCTTTCCACAGTGCCTTTAAGGCCCCTATTCCCCAGGGCCCCAAAGCTCCCAACCAGTGCACATCTAGGATGCCCAGTAACCTAGGAATAAAAAGGGCTCCCTTTTTGGTATCGGGTAACTTTATAAGGAACCTAGGACTACAAAAAGGTAATAAGGGTACAACTGGGCATCCTAGTGTCCTAGTAATATAATCATATACTCTCCCAAATCGCAGCCTACCAAACTACTATCCTAAACCCAAGTACCCTTCGGGAAAGTACGCAACCCTAAACCCTAAACCCACTGCTGACAGAAAGGACGCCTGCTTTGCGAGCAGCCTGGATGGCCTGCCGCAGGGTGGAGTGGGGTGTTCGGAGTCGAGGGTCTTGGGTTTAGAGTTTAGGGTTTTTGGGTTTAGGGTTTTGGGAATGCTAGGTCTGCCTGTTGAGGCTCCCAAGCTTGCTCCTTAACACTAAGCCCTCGAAGTCTCACATTCCCTAAGGGTCCATGTGCCCAAATAGGAATCCTTTAAGGATTCCTTTAAGGGTTACTACAAGGCATCCTTTACGGATGCTACTATAAGGGTTTAGCGTATAAGGGTCCATGTACCTAAATAGTAAATATATACCTTGGCCTCAAAGTACCTATATCGGGGCTACTTTAAGGCCGAAGTATAGTCAATTTGGGTACATGGACCCTTGGGGAATATCATATCCTTCCACCACGAACCTAGCTCCGCACTGGCCCCTAGAAAAAGACAACTTTTCCTATGCTTCAGTTAGTGGGAGTTAGGATTAAGGGGAACCTTGGGGATAAAGACCCTCTCAATAAGCTCCCGTTTAAGAGAGCCGAAGGGTACCCTTTAAGGGCTCTCCCAAACAATTACCTAATTAATACGGAAATTACCACAAAGGTGGGGAAAGGGGTAATATGGGAGTTTCCGAAAATAGGGGACCCTAATATAGTACCCAAAATAATAGTTTCCTTATGAGGCCCCCAAATAAGGTACCCCTACTTTTCGGAAACTCCCTAGACCCTAAACCCTATAGATCCCTTTAAAGGAACCCTTAAAGGACCCCTTTAAAGGAACCCTAAGGTAGCCCCTAATCCCAAAGTAAGGTACCCCTACTTTTCGGAAACTCCCATACTGGGGAACTAAGCGAACACCAGACAGTGAGCGTAGGGCTCGGAAGCTCGGACGGACCCGGCTACAGATGGCAAACCATGAAGGTTGTTATGGGGGTTTAGGGTTTAGGGTTTAGGGTTGTTGTGGGTAGCAAGATGAGGGAGACCCCTTACAGGGTACCCCTTCCGAACCCTACTTCTGGCTCTCTTAAAAGGGACCTTATTGAAAGGGTCTATGTCCCCGAGGGTCCCCCTAATCCTAACTCCCATGTTAAGGATGAGGATGTTGTTGACGTTTGTGATGATGATGGTGATGGTGATTAAGATGATGATGATCATCATCATGGTGATGGTGCAGCTACATCTCCAGTAGCAACCAGCAGCTATATAGGACATCAAGCCATTACTATAGTACTAGGCCCAAGAGTAGCCTAGGAATAAAAAGGGTGCCCTTTTTGGTTTAAAGGGGCCTATAAGGGAACCCGACACCTACAAAAAGGGAATAAGGGCCTACTCCAGATCCTAGAGTACTTAAGGAGCCCCAAGTCTAAACATTAACTCACAAGCGAAGTTCTCCCAATGAGGGGCCGGTGCGGCCTGGGTTTAGGGTTTACCTGGACCCCAAATAACCTACCGTTTTGGGGTTCCCCCAATATGATTTCTTTGTATAAGTCCTTAAAACGGTAGGTTTTTTGGGGTTAAGGTAGGGTTTAGGCCAATCTGGTCCTGCTTCAAAAGCGCAGTGTACTTGGTCTTGCGTGAGGTTGCTCGCGACGCGGTTAAAGGCCAGATGTGTCGCGCACAGAGCAGTACCCAACTCGTCTTTCGCTCTGGCATGCCAGTCGATCATGTCCATCGTCGTATTGGCCAGTCTGACCTCAAATCGGTGATGTACGCCATCCGACTATCCCAAACTCAAGAAGACAACTCTTGGGGACCTAAAAGACCCTAATTTACAGAACTAACCATATATTACACCCCAAACCCCCAAAACCCTTGGGCTTGGGTTTAGGGTGTAGGGCTCTTAACCCAAAGTCCCTAAAGTCCATAAACCCTACATCCACGAAGTATGGGCGCAGAAAAACCTTAAGGACGAAATGAACCTCAAAAGGTTTTAAGGTTCATATACCTTATAGGGATTCATAGTATAAGGGTATAGGGCCACTACTTATGAGGGTCCCCTAAACCCTAAACCCTAAACCCTAAACCCTAAGGTCCCCCAAGGAACTGCAGCCTCATATGACGGCCGCCGGGTCGGTGACGTCGGCTGTTGCGCAGGCTCCTCCACCTGCACTTTGGTTTAGGGTTTAGGGTTTAGGGTTTAGGTTCCTTTTTGGAGCTACCCTATAGGATTCTATATATGAACTCCAAAAAGGAACTACTTTGGGGCCCTTGTGTAAACGGTTCTGTTAAGCGAATTGTTGGTTTTTCGGGGGGTAGCGAATTAAGCAAGATGAAGTGCGCTCAAGGATGTATCTCTATGAGTAAACCATACTGTATAGGAAAATGAATAACGACCGTATTTACCATTATTGTCTTTCAGGCTTCCTGATATGCCCCCCCCCCTGTTCAAATTCATATAGACAAAGCTCCGACAACTCCCCACTACGCAAAACCGCGCCTTCTCCGCGTGCGCGTCGTGCAAAGCTTTCTCGAGGGAGCCATCTGCCGCGGTGCCTTTTGTGGCAGTATTGGGATATTGCTACGTCATTTTTTGGTACGTTTTCCGTTGCATGCCCCTATAGACCCTAAACCCCTAAACCCCTAAACCCTATTGACCCTAAAGCGCTAAACCCTTAAACCCCTGAAGACCCCTATAAACCCCGCTTCGGTGACAGCTCTCAGGTTCACCGGACTAGCATCACGGATCCCACAGACAACTACTTGGTGGATCAGGGGACTTAGCAAGTAGGTCTATATGTAAGGTAATTATAGTTATAACTACTCATAACCTTAACTAAGGTACTTGTAACCCTACTTACTAAGTCCCATGATCCTTTAATTAAGTAGACCCTAAACCCTGAACCCTTATAGTACCCTATAGATCCTTTTACGGGACCCTTTAAAGGAACCCTACTTACTAAGTCCCATGATCCTTTAAGTAGGTTTGGATGAGCCTAGCTAGGGCTTCCGGTCAGGCTGCCGACTCCTGGGTTTCGAATGCATGAAATACAGAGTTTGAAGTCTAGGCTCTAGGGTTTAAGGCGACCAAACCACGGTTTACGGTTTAGGGTTTGGTTTAGGGTTTAGGGTTTAGGGGTTAGGGCTAGGGTTGAGTCGATGGTGAACGTCTCCATCAGCACGAGCAGCAAAGCAACTTCCATAAACGGCTACATTATCACTGCACACTGCCGCCGAGTGCTTTGATATATGATGTTGATACATCACCGCTTCGCTGCTCAGCAGCGCTTGGATTTTCCACCTTCAAGGCCTTCTTGAAGTACACCTTCTTCTGGGCCACATGCGCTTCGAGGCGAGAGCCAGCAAAAGCCCCCGATCCCAATAGTGCCCGTAGCAGATGGGTCTGCTCAATGCAAGAACAGGTAGGCCAACAGCACCTTGTTCTGGAGCGGGTTGATCACAAACACGTTGCACTGCTTGATGTCAGCCAACATCTTCACAGCGCGAACGATGTCGTCGTCCATGGCTCCGATGCCAGTGACGTGGATCTGGAACATTTCGCCTGTGTTTGGGGCGACGCCAATGTTCTGCAGAGTGTGCCATTCTGCCTGACGGAAACCCTAAACTTACTACCCCAATAAGCCACAGAAATAAAATGTTAAACTTTCCGATTCCTACTCAACCAGAAGAACCCAAAAAGTTTAAAGCTTAGGTATTGGGGATCTAAGTAAACGGGAGCCTGAAGAATTAGAATCGGGTTTTGGGGTGTATACAATTGAGGGTCAGTGCTGGGATCATTTAAGCTTCTATGTTAAACCCGAAACTCTAAAACGTGATTTGTAGACCCTTAACCCTACACCACACTCTGAACCTGAAAACTGAACCTCTTACTTATCTCCATCAAATCAAGCTCTACGGTGGGCCTAGCCAACTTCCTGCATAGCTAGTTTACAGCTTTGGGTTCAGGGATTTGGGCTTGAAACTTTCGTACAACAAAGACCCCACATAGAGTTTCAGAAAGCCCATAAACGTCACGTAAAGTTCGCCCAAGCACTGAGTAAACTAAGCAGTTAGCTTTCAGGTTCCGGGCTTATCTAGGATGCCCAGTAACCTGAGAATAAAAAGGGCTCGCTTTTTGGTATAGGGTACCTTCATAAGGGAACCTAGGACTACGAAAAGAAGGCTACCACTGGGCATCCTAGTTATTATTGTGATTCGCATCACTGGAGATCGTTGCTTGCAGGGTCGGGGGACTTAGTAAGCAGGTACCAGGACCCTAAGGAACCTACCTTTCTAAGGTCCCCTAATATGATTTCTTTATACAAGTCCTTAAAAAGGTAGGTTACTTGGGGTTAAGGTAGAAGTACATAGAATTATAAGTAGCTTAACAAGGACCCTAGTTGGAGATAGGATACCGTTAAGTCTTTTTTCTGGCTACTTATCAAGTCCCCCGACACTCCAAGACTCCAAGTGGTTTCGAACGATCACCCTAAGCCCTAAACACCAAACCCTCAGCCAAGCTTGGGCCCACAGACACTGGACCCAAAACCCCTCGACTCGGATCCCCAGTAACCCCTGGAAAAAGAGGGCTCCCTTTGGGGTATTGGGCAGGCTTTTGCTTGGTTTAGGGTTTAGGGTTTAGGGTTTAAGGAACCTTGGTTTAGGGTTTAGTTTAGGGTTTAAGGAACTTTGGTTTAGGGTTTAGGGTTTAAGGAACCTTGGTTTAGGGTTTAGTTTAGGGTTTAAGGAACTTTGGTTTAGGGTTGAGGGTTTAAGGAACTTAAGACCACAAAAAGTAGTAGCGGGCCAACTACGGGTTTCCAACAATATGGGACCCTACTACAGTACCCTAAATAGTAGGATCCTTTTCATAGGGACCCCCAAAACATTTTCGGAAACTCCCCAATCCCTAAACCCTAGACCCTACCTTAACCCCAAGTAACCTACCTTTTTAAGGACTTGTATAAAGAAATCATATTAGGGAACCTTAGAAAAGGTAGGTTCCCTAGGGTCCAGGTATAGATGCCTTTAAAGGAACACTTCAAGGCTCCCTTTAAAGGAACCCAAAATCAGAAACCCCTAGTCTTCGGAAACTCCCGAACTGGGAGACGACTTACTAAGTCCCCGGATCCTCAAAGAAATCTGGTGGTTTAGGGTTTAGGGCTTTAGGGTTTAGGGCTTTAGGGTTTAGGGGTTTAGGGTTTAGGGGTTTAGGGCTTAGGGTTCAAATCCGCCGAGCCTCCGCCCTACCCAAAGGCCCCAAAGTAGTTCGTTTTTAGGGTTCATATATAGAATTCTATTAAGTAATCCCAAAAAGGAACTACTTTGGGGCCTATGGGTAAAGCCCTCAACCACGCTTCTGAGGCTTGGACGCGCAAGGAGGTCTAACCTTGGCTTGCTTAGAGGGTCGCGGGACTTAGCAAGTAGGGTTAGAGGTACCTTAATTACGGTTACAAGTAGAGATAACCATAGTTACCCTACTTATAACACTACTTACTAAGTCCCCTGATCCTCTAAGTAAACCCTAAACCCCAAACCCTATAGATCCCTTTTAGGAACCCTATACTATAGATCCCTTCAAGGACCCTGCTTACTAAGTCCCCTGATCATCAAAGTAAACCCTAAACCCCAAACCCCAAACCCTATAGATCCCTTTTAGGAACCCTATACTACAGATCCCTTCAAGGACCCTGCTTACTAAGTCCCCTGATCATCAAAGTAAACCCTAAACCCCAAACCCCAAACCCTATAGATCCCTTTTAGGAACCCTATACTATAGATCCCTTCAAGGACCCTGCTTACTAAGCCCCCTGATCATCAAAGTAAACCCTAAACCCCAAACCCCAAACCCTATAGATCCCTTTTAGGAACCCTATACTATAAATCCCTTCAAGGACCCTGCTTACTAAGTCCCCTGATCATCAAAGTAAACCCTAAACCCCAAACCCCAAACCCTATAGATCCCTTTTAGGAACCCTGTACTATAGATCCCTTTAAGGACCCTACTTACTAAGTCCCATGATCCTCTAAGTGGTTGCCGAAAGACCAAGAAGGCTCTTGGGTTGCGGGGTTTTTCCATTAACACCCCGAGAGACTCCAATATCCCTTAATTAAGGAATATACCGCAAATTATAGTAGGATCGCTAATATGGTTTAAGGAATGTACCTTAAATTATAGTAGGATCCCTAATATGATTTACGGAATATACCTTAAAGTATAGTTGGGCCCCTAATATGATTTAAGGAATATTCCTTAATTAAGGGATATTGGAGTCTCGGGGCCCGAGCCGATTACTCAATGCAGACGTGTACGGATGAGGATGCCACTACTACTTAGAGGGTTCCGATAAGGGTACAGGGGCCCTTTACGGGATCTATAGGGGTACTATAAAGGGTTCCTTAAAGGGATCTATAGGGGCACTATAAGGGTTTATGGTTTAGGGTCTACTTGGAGGATCACGGGACTTAGCAAGTAGGGTTATAAGTAACTTAATTAAGGTTATAAGTCGATATAACCATAGTTGCCCTACTTATAGCCCTACTTACTAAGTCCCCTGATCCTCTAAGTACTGAAGCTTTGATTTGGAATTCTTGAAGAACAAACTTAGGTAACCCTTAAGACTTCCCACAGCTTTTCAGCAAAACAAAGGACCCTTGAACGACGTGCTAATAAACAGAACAGTATATTCAGATAGTTTTTCTAGTATCTCTGTTGTAACTGTGATACGGAAACCAGACAGGGAACCGTAGTTGGGCTAATCAAAGTGGGTACGAACCTCATCTGCAACCCTAAAGGTTACTTAAGCCCTATAGCCCTGAAACCTATACCCTCTTACTACCCCAATAAGCCACAGAAATAAACGCGCCAAACTTGCCGATCCCTACTACTAAACTATAAGAACCCAAAAAGTTCAAAGGTTAGGTATTGGGGATCTAAGCCCTTGCAAACCAAGTGGCAGTGACCTTCGTACCAAATCTGTGTCCGAAACGGTGGCCATCACTGGTCTCGGGTCACCTAGGACTACAAAAAAGGAATAAGGGTACTACTGGGCATCCTAGACCTTAAACATGGTTCAAGGTATATTCCTTAATTCACGGGTTTTGAGTCTTTGGGTTCTCCAGCCATATTCCTTAGAGTTCAGGGGACAGGGTTTAGGGACAGCGGCTCCGCGAAGGCCCTTAATTCAGGAATATACCTCCCACTTATAGGGAGACCAACATTTTGTTTTCATATAGTTTTCTTACTTAAGCGGTGTTGGGTGTGTAGGTGGCAGCCAGGTTACAGGTTTCTTTAAAGGCTAGGGTTTACAGGGCTTCGGGTTTAAGGCGTGTTTAAGGATTTGGGGCTCAGGGCTAAAACTGTTCCCAAGGGCTTTGGGGTTAAGGACCGTAAACCCTAAATCCAGAGCCCTATACCCTGAACACTAAACCCTAAACCCCAAAAGCTAAACCCTAAACCCCAAACACTAAACCCTGAACTCTAAACCCTAGACCCTAAGCGCTAAACCCTAAACACTAAAAACGAAACACTAAACCCGAGACCCTTTTCAGCTTGCTGCTTTTAGGGTGTTGGCTGTATCTTTCATGACTGCGACCTTGGTTTCGGGGTTTCCAGAGGCCAGAAAGCCTAGTATTTAAGGAATAGCCCATAAGGTAATTCTTCAGACCCCTATAAGAAATCCTTATAATCGCCCTTATAGACGATTATAAAGCCCTTTAAAGGAACCCCTGGAGCCCTTTTAGTAGCCCGCTTAGCAGTACCCTGGATGCCCAGTAACCTAGGAATATAAGGGGCTCCCTTTTTGGTATTGGGTGCCTGAATAAGGAACCTAGGACTACAAAAAGGGAATACGGGTACTACTGGGCATGCCACTAAAATCAGAGGCTCCAAGCGCCATAGTTAAGGAAATAAGAAACAGCCCTTAAAATCAATAGCAGGAAGTCACCATGATGCATGCGAGTTGACATCTTGCTATCATCTTCCTACTCCAGTTATGCTCACCTCGGTTGTCATGATGAACGCGGTCGACGACCTGGCCACCGGCGAGGGCCCGACCCCCTCACGAAGACTTTCAAAATCGTGAAGTCCCGCTTCAGGACGGGGGATTGGCATCGCACTGGCCGCTGGTCTGGTAGTTCGTCAGCTCGCCAGCCACGTAGGTGGAGCGCCGAGCAGGCTGTGCCATGGCAAAGGGTGTGCTTCCGCTTTACTGGATGTCCTTTCATCGATCCAACAAGTGATCGCACCCTGGGGTCTCACAGGTCTCCGGGTCTCCGGGCAGCAGGCGATTACCCACTCGTCTCCATAGTCTGCATATGGCCAGACGTCTCCATCTCATTCATTTGCTTGCATCCGCCTGCCCACACACCTACACACCCACACGCGCACACACCCACACGCGCGCACAAACATTAAGGAATAGTCTGAATAGCCCTCAGAATCATAACAGGAATTCAACATGATGTAAGCATTAAGGCGTGGCCTGAATAGCCCTTAAAGTTATAAAAGGGATGCAATATAAATTACAGTGTACTCTTACCCCAAGGGTCCAAGTACCTAATAAAATGCACTATCCAAAATCCTAATCTACATAGACACTATCCTAAAACCGAGTACCTAATTGCTGGATCCTTTGGACCCTTGGGGTTAGGTGAAGGGTCTCTGGCTCTGGGTTATGGCTGCGGGTTTGGAGGGTACCCCATTAAGAAACCCTGGGGCCTTTTTGTAGGGTTCCGTCAAAGGGTTCTATAAGGGTTACTATAAGGGATCTATACGGGTACTATCATAATGCAGGAACCTGATTAAGAAACCCTGGGCCTATAACCCCCAAAGTAGTAGGGTTCATATACGGAACCCGAATATTGCGTAAAAGGCCCAAGGTTTCTTAATCAGGTTCCTACATTGGGGTGTATGTTTTCTCGTTGATGCAAGGAACTTCAGGACTCCCTAAACAAGGAAACCCGCCTCACACGGTACAAGGAGTAGCGCCAAGGGTCCAATGGACCCAATAATTAGGTATTCGGTTTTAGGATATATAGTAGTTATGTAGGTTAGGATGTTGGACAGTATATGATTATTGGGTATTTGGACCCTTGGGGTAGTCTTTTGAACTGAGCCCTAAACCCTAGACCCCAAACCCAAAGCCCCACACCCTAAGTAAAAGGGTTTTGGAGTCTCTGAGTACGTCTTCGCAAGGCTCGCACAGATCGGCGTCTATGACGCAGGTCCCATGGCTAACAGTTTTTTGAGTTTAAGGCTTGAGGCAAACAGGCTTACAGCCTTGGACTCAGGCTCAGGGCTCAAGTGTTGATTTGGTGTTATGTGGGAGTTTCCGAAAATTAGGGTACCTTATTTTGGGGGTCCTTATACTAGGGATCCTACTATTTAGGGTACTATATTAGGGTCCCCTCTTTTCGGAAACCCCCATGTCAATCAGCTCGCAACTTCGGTCCTGCAAAGTGTTGCTGCTGCCAGAAGTCTTTGTTAAGCCTAAACCCAAAGCTGTAAAGGAAAAAACAACAACAGCAGGCGTTCTGACTGCTTCCTTTGAGAGAGAAGACACAGCCGATCACCAGCTGGTGCTGCCCAAGGCTTAGGGTACAGGGTGCGTGGCTCTCGGGTCAGACTGGAGCAACTACGCCAAAAAGCAGCAGGGATGATGAACTTGATCGACATTCACGGAACACGGTGACAGTGAGAAGAAGTGAAAAATGTCTAGTGTAATTAACCCGCAACAGGGTCATCATCAACAAGAAGAGTGCTATAGGTTCTAGTCTCGGGAACATGGACAACCACGATGAACCATGCTGCACTCTTGAGCACGAACACATAACGATAGTCGCAACAAAAACCGCTGTTATATATCGGTGACAACTAATGGTACCGAATGATAACCATAGCTCTTGTCATCATGACACAAAAATGCTGGCTGTGCAGTCATTGCGTGATGGTGGTGATGGTGATGGAGATGGTGATGGTGAAGGTGACGGTGAAGGTAAAGGTGAAGGTAAAGGTGAAGATGAAGCTCATGGTGATGGCGTGATGGTGATGATGATGCCGGTAGTAACGGAGGTGATGCTTCCGATGATAATAATGGAGATGGCGCTGATGGTGGTGATGACTCCGACTATGCTGATGCTGGCGACGGTGATGACGATTGCGATGACGATGACGATGGTGGTGATGAGGGTGTGATGGTGTGATGTTGATGAATACCAGCAGCCGTAGCAATAGCTCCATACCTGCAGGTCTTCGACAACAACAGAGGAAGTAGCCACGACGGTAACCAAACGAACGCAGTGAAAACGCATGAAATGAGCAAGGGGAAATCATGCCGCTCATGATAGACACCTCAATCATACAAGCAAGTATTCGGGTAATGACAGTATAGACAATATAGTCAGTCGTAGCTGCAACATCACCTGCCTGAGAAGACACTACATTGATGTTTGGCATGTCTACTTGAGTTGAGTGGTTTAGGGTCTGGTGTTTAGCTGTTTAGGATATTCTGAACCAGGTGGCTTTCGTCTTGGTGAAGTGGACTTGGTCTCTTTTTGAACTCCTTTTTGAGATTTACAGAAACCTTGGCAGACCATAACATGAAGAGCCCGACACAATGCTTGTACGTACCGAACAGTAAAGGATGTTGAGATGTGCCAAGGTGGTTGCTGGGACCTTCTAGTAAAGCCCTAAGCCCTCAATCCCTAAACCCGGTAGCCAACACCTCCTGAATCTCGGACTGTTTGCGTTCGCTCCAGCAGACTGAACCCTGTTGCAGGCTTCGCATCAACGATTCATGCCCAGATCTTCCATGCACGCTTCTTGCAAAGCGTTAATTAAGGTTCATGATTTAGGGCTCAGGGATAGCTTACACACCAAAATCTTCTTCGACTTTATGTTGTCGGTGTCGGGTTTGGCTCACTGCCAACAAAGGGCCTAAAGACCTAAGTGTATATGACCATCTGGACAACGTCTCCAGAGATGTGTTCCTTGTGGCCTCACTTTCCAACAAGAAAACCTCCACCACTGGTTGGAAGTTGCAGTTAAATACGGCTATGCTTGTCGGCGGAGCGCTTTATACAGTTGCCATACATGCACAGCCTACACCAACTTAGTTACTCATCAGCATTCGTCAGGCCTTAGAAAACCCTAAACCCTAAACCCCTAAACCCTCAACCCCTAAACCCAGTTGGAAACCCCATAGCCTCGATCCCGAAGAGTAACGTAAAGGGAATCCCAGCTCCATTTGGCCTAATTCCGGTTTCCGACTTTCTGGGGTTTACTGTACATCTTAAAGGAGAAACCCTAAACCCTCAAACCCTAAACCCCTAAAACCTCAACCCATAAACCCTCAAGCCTCAACCCCTAGACCCCCCAAAACCCCTCAAACCCTAAACACAACAGTTAGATGTTGGAAGATTTCGGCTTTGCACTTTGGCAGCATGCAGCAGCTCAACCTATGGGCAGTTGTCAAAAGTATGGTCCCTTTTGGGGTACCCTCAATAGTGGGTGCCCTACTATATTAAGGACCGAAAAAGGGACCACAGTTTTGACAACCACCCATATCGCTGTATCAAGGCTGCAGCATGTGCGGCTTGCAGCACATGGGGTTTAGGGTTTTGTTTGCCGACAGCTATATCAGTATCAGCACCAGCGGAAGGTTCGGGATACAGGTAGTTCTCTAATTCCAATATGGCAAGCACCGAGTTTCTTCTTGCACAGTGGGCCGGTAGACGAAGTTACGTTAGTTTCAAACCATCCAAAAAAGCTGCACCTTAAACAGGGTTTAGGTTTTTTAAGTCTAAGGCCGCATGCCCCCCTTCCAAAGAAAGAGAAACACAAAGAACACTGCAACTTCAGAAGCTTTCTGACCCAAAGCCCTGAACCCCAGATCCTAAACTTACTACCCCAATAAGCCACAGAAAAGAAAAGTTAGACTTTCCGATTCCTACTAAACAATAGAAACCCCAAACAGTTTAAAGGTTAGGTATTGGGGAT